CACACACACACACACACACACACACACACACACACACACACACACACACACACCCACTCACACACACTCACACACACACTCACTCACGCACCAACACATACATTTGGCAGGTGCCAGCGCAACTGTGGCAGATGATGGCTTGACACCTGAGCAGCGCAAGGAGATTGAGCAAAAGAAGTTTGAGGCAGCACGAAAGCTCGCGTTGACAAAGGGTGTCCCGGTCACGGGCACCATGGGCGAGTCCTGGCGCCACGCCCTGCGTCGCGAATTCAAGCAGTCGTACTTTGAAAAGGTCAGCCTTGCTGATGTGTGTGTGTGTTGTAGGGGGAAGAGGAGTGTGGATGCGTGGGTATGTGTGGGTGTGTGAGTGAGTGTGTGAGGCATGCACTGTCACTTATATGTCCTTCACACTCTTAACAAATACACCCCCCCCCAACACAGCTGATGTCGTTTTTGGCCAAGGAGGCGGAGGGCGGCAAGACCATCTTCCCGCCGGCAGACGAGGTGTACTCGTGGTCGCGTGCGTGCCACATCCGAGACGTCAAGGTGGTCATCCTGGGGCAGGATCCCTATCACGGGCCTGGTCAGGCCCACGGCCTCTGCTTCAGCGTCAAGCCAGGCGTCTCAGGTGCGACTGCTTTGCTCGTGTGAGTGAGCGTGTGTGTAGATGTGTGTGTGTGTGTGTGTGTGTGGTGTGTGCATGTGCGTGTGTATGCGTTTGCAGATGTGTGTGTGTGTGCAATTCTTGCGTCCTCGTTTCTCATGGTTGCCTCTTCCCGCTGACCAACCACATGCCCCGACATGTCCCTCGCATGTCACAGCACCGCCAAGTTTGAAAAACATTTACAAGGAGCTGGAGGAAGACATTGACGGTTTCAAGAAGCCGGACCACGGCCACCTCATGTCCTGGGCCGAGCAAGGTGGAGATGTATATATATATATATATATGTGTGTGTGTGTGTGTGTGTGTGTGTGTAAGAAAGGAGTGAGCGAGGTATTGTCTTTCTGC